TTTGAATGGTCTCGAAGGTGCGCCACGCATTCTAAAAACACATTCTTTGAGAGCAAGAATGTTTGAAAGTAGTAGCACAAAAGCGCGCACATATGGTATTAGGTTGTCCGGAAAGTTCTCAGCGTTTTGGGTGTTTCACTTTAAACGATCGTAACTTTTTTAATACTCATCGGATTTAATCGAAATAGGCACCATTCGAATCAGCACACTTTTGCCAATGTGACAGCAGTCGAGAAATCCCATCAAAGTAAAAAAACTGGGTGGTCGAAAATTCACGAAATCCACTAAGGCTTTTTTGCCTGGTCCTGATTGATGAAGTATTTTCCAGCAAGGGAGTTCTGAAAATGTTGTGATAGTCGGTTGGTGAAAGGTCTGAAGAATATGGCGGTTGAGGTAGAACTTCAACCCCCAATTTATGGATAGTGATTTGTGAAACGTGTGGGCGGGCGTTGTCATGCAAAAGAATCGGACCCTTTCTTTTGATAAGTGTTGGCTGCATCTGACAAAATTTTCGGTACAATTCGTCGATTTCTTCACAGTAGGGTTCTGCTGTGATGGTTTGGCCTGGTGATAAAAAGTTATAGTGGATCACACCAGCCGATGACCACCAAGCCGTGACCAGAATCTTTTTTTCGTGAGGGTTCGGCTTTGAAAATTACCTCGGTGGTCGTCGAAATCCAACCACTGTCCGGAACGTCTCCTGTTATCATACATGACCCATTTTTCATCACAGGTGACAATTCGGTCCAAAAACAGGTCGTTTCTGCTGCGCAAAAGCAATGCAGAAGGAACCTCGAGACGTGCCGATTCCTGCCGGTCACTCCGATTGTGGGGCACCCAATTGTCGAGTTTTTTCACCTTCCCAATGCGTTCCAGACCATCTGCAACAGTGGATTTGCCAAGGCCTAGCTCTTCTGCTATCTCTCGAACTGTTTGGGATGGGTCAGCCTCCAAAATCCCCCTAAAATCCTCGTCAGATATTGCTTTAGGTCGACCGCTATGAGGTTCATCTTCAAGGCTGAAATCTCCAGAACGAAATTTGTTGAGCCATTGCCGCACAGTGCTTTCTCTAGCACTATTGGGCCCCCACACCTGGTTAATTTGTTGAGCTGTTTCGATTGCGGATTGCCCCAATTTATAGTCGAAGAAAAAATCGTCCGAAGTGCTCTTTTCACATGCTTGAAAAAATCTTGAAAAAAGGGGGTTTATCAAGCAATGGTGAAACGGCAATTATACCATCAGATAGCGCAAGAAATTCTCTACAGGATGTGCTACTGAGAAGCAAGGCAGAATGAGTTTTTAATCAGCAGTGAATGTACAAAAAATAGGTGCACAAAACGCTGAGAACTTTCCGGACAACCTAATATAAAATCACTACAAAATGACTCTGAAAATTGCGGGAGTGCGAGGGGTTGTCTGCAAGGCCTGGTCGACTAACTCGGGACTCCAAGGCTGGTGAATGTCAGGATCCCAGCACCCAGTATACATTTCTGATACAATGATTAATCTCAATTGCAGGAAGCCGTGGCTTTCTTGGCAGGAAAGGTCATCAAGGAAGTGAGAGATTTGATCTCTAAAGCGCAGCCTTTTTTGTTTTACTATTTTATGCTATTTCTAGCGTTCGCACCGGTAACCAAGAAAGCAGCCGACCGTGATAGTAAGTGTTGAGCTCTCATACTTACAGCTTTTATATGCCAGAAAAGACCAGTAGGTACTACGGGCACAGGAAGTACTTTGTGAGGAAGGCATCAGTATGCTCAGTCTCATCGCCACGGATGCTCGGGCTTGTTCAGAGGACTGGGCCTGTTTTCCATCAATTGTTGTCGCTCGCCCACCTCAGCAATTGCTGGAGAACGGGCTGGGGCCGTTCCAAAGCCGGCTCCTCTGAGACGCCCCAGCACTCGCAGCGTACAAGACTGTGATAGGCTTGCATCATGTGCTTTTGGCGCTCTTTTGCAGTGTTCATGACGGCTCAAGGCAGCGAATACTCTGTTTGATTAGGGGTCTAAAATCCAAAACAGAGGTCCCGCTGAAGCGAGACGGAAGCAACAACGAAGCAATACCATGAAAACCAATTCAGAGGGATCTTAACTCATTCCCTCGATTTGAGCGGTGGAGGGATCAGCTCTTGTCGAGTTGTCAATCATGAATACGTTGAGGTCGCACACTCCCTCACTGTTACAAAGGGAGGGGACGCAGATAAGGAGTGATTATGGGCTATAGTGGCCATTCTAGGTGGAGTGAAAAGATGGCTAGGCTTGTTAAGTCGCTTTAGGCGCTTACTTCGCTTTGAACTACGTCGCACACCCTCTCTACTTCCTTGATCCATTCTTTGAGAGATCTTCTTCTGTAGGCTCAGTCCAATATTGGCTGACTTATCCACTGCTAGAAATGCGCTGGGCATTCACCTTGAAGGGTCCGCTTTTTTCACATATGTGTGGGACAGCAGCTGAAGGGCTGCCTGCTTCGCTACTCAAAAATGCAAGAGAGTAAGGCTGGAGGGTCGTGGTTGCTGTAATTCCCTTGAGGTTTCACCGGTAGACAGAACACGCAACACGCCGCATTACCAGCTATATGCCTAGCCAAACAGATCACGCTTCTTGTCTACGCCTCCTCGTTCGATTAAGGAGCTGTTGTTCCCTACACTTGTAAGTGAGTAGACAGCTTGCCGTTTCTACGGCATCAACGCACATGCTGTCGTCGTGTGGAGACCAGGACTACCCAGTGAGCCACCTTTCACTACATTCCAACCTCATTCTTGCGCTCTTCCGGATGAAAGAAGTGAAATGTTCTACAATTGTGGACCCTTTCAGCTACCACATAGCACGTTCTCACCTCGCAGGTGAGCGTATGGTCTTGTTCGCCGCGGATAATTGGGCGTGTCAAGGGGATGAGTTTTGCCCGACGCCTGCCCATTTTTTTCCTCCCGTTTCAACAATTAAAGCAGAACGGGCTTGGCGCCAAACTCATCCCGTCTGACACATCCCATCATCCGCAGTGAACAAGGCTGTAGAATTTGTCCTCGAACAGCTTTCTCGTTTCAGTTACTACTGCTGCGCATATTACTCGTCGTCTGGGATTGCAGTTTGGACAATGGTGTTAGGGCAATGTGGCGAAATCGGCGCTGGCTATAGTGACACGTGCGCTGCATTTGCACCAGACTACTACGTTCAGTGCTTGATGCCCAATGCTCCTGATAATCTCCAGCAAAACTTTCTCCCCATGCTGATCGCTGTGCTCGCCTACACTTACTTTATCTTCAATGTCACGTCAAATAAAATTTCAGAATTAATGGATAAGCTAAAGACGGAAAAAACCGCTGCCAATCAAAGTTTCCCTATTCAGAAACCACAAAACAAAGGTGAGTTTCATCATAGTAAGATATGATGAATACAGTGGTAGCCATCGTTGTTGAACACTAGACGCTGCAGCCAATAACTGACTTTTACGTAAGGCTGCGTAAGGAACAGACTGGATCCAGTAGGCTAAACTGCGCAAGGATCTGAGTAGGAGCACCGGTTGCATGCCGTAGCACTCACTTCAGGCCTAGGCGACCTCCAGTTAGACGTGAAGGGCAGATTACTCCGACGACTTCTTCTTCCTCTCCCTAGCGTTAATCCCGCTCCGTCGTGGGTCCGCTGTTCTTGTTAACAGTCGCCATCTTCTCTATCCAGGGCGTCCTCTGCCATGGTCTTCACTTCAGTGAGGTCTTTCTTGATCACGTCCTTCCACCTTTTCTTCAAAACTGCTCGTAGTCGCATGCCTTGTGCTCCGACGTTCAGTGCCTTCCCTGTTGGGTAAATTCCTTGAACCTTCTCAGCACGTACCCATACCACTACAGTCGCTGCTCTCGTGCCTTCAGCTAGACTGGAGCCGAGCCGTAGAGAATTACCACAACAACTAATCAGTTGTTTGAAAATGAAAGCGATGGAAATGCTCACAACTTTTGGCAGTGTTAAGTTTCTTTCTGGTCCAAATGTGGACTATATGGAGACTATATGGAGAAGAGCCACATCACAATCAGAGTGATGCTAGTGACACAAACACACACACACCA